AAAACACATTTCTGCGATGGAAAAAGGACTGAGTCACTTGAACTACTTACTGGGCCTTCCCCAATGATCCGCACCTTCTAACCGTAAAAGCAACAGAAAGGAGGCACCCGAGCGAAAAGCGCAAAGGTCAATGTGGTCACTCGGTGAGGGGGTACAGGGGTGATTCTAGGGTGATTACATAGCAATTATTACCTGCTGACTTCTAATCTGACTGTCACATGAAAAAAAAACAGCGAAACGTCAGTGTCGTGATAAAAAAACCATCGCGAGCAAACGCTGTCCGTAACCATACGCGCGACGCAGCATGGTCCTACCAAAACATACCCATTTCATAGTCCTCCACATGACCAGCAAATGTGACTTCCAAAAAAGTATTTAGGAAGAGGCAAAGAGAAAGCTACCGCATCGATCCGGCATTCTTCGAGTGTATGAGAATGGAGGAATCGATGATTTGAGCTAAGAAGAAGTAGACTGGAATAGATTGCCTCTCCTATACTCCCAAAACACATCGATCCTGTGCTCACATTTATTCATTCGGTGTTAACGTGGGGGATGGCGCTTCTGCATCCCTTCTCCTAATCAAAGCTTAGGCCCAATGGAGAGTCTACAGAATCGACCCAGAACCCGGAAGTGCTAGTCTCGTCAGGGATGGGGGTGATACTTGGTCGTTGGGGGTCGTATCTGGTCTAAACGGAAGATGTTCTCAGCCGTGACCTTTCCCTACTATGCCGGTATACGACGGGCTTTCCGAGACTGCTGGAAAGTTTTCTGGAAAACTGCGAAAAGTCGTAGTAAGTTAGAAAGTTGGGGAAACTCAGGTAGATGATAAGTAAGGCATTGTCCACGATCTGCGTTTCTGGCGGAAGAAATACTTCCGCAAAAAGTTTCGATACGTATGGACAAGCGGCTCGTCGAAGAATCCGGCGGTTACGCGAACCATTTGATACTTATCGACGACCATTAGGGAAGAGCGGTTGGGCGAAAAATGCTAGCTCAATCGCCCAAAAGTTTTCATCTCGGGCAAGTCAGCGGATTCGATACGCAATGGACCCTTTTAGCCGAAACGCTAAACGGTGGCGGCGTTTCTCCAAAACGGTTGACGATTTTCCACTGATTCGTATTTATTGCTTCTTGCCGAACCTCCGATCCGTCGGGGTCGCAGACGGTGAACAATGCCTAAATGAGGGGAAGGAGGGTCGTATCGAATAAAGAAATTTCTGGTGAGGGGGGGAGGAG